ACAAGTGGATCTTCAAAAAAAAGATCGAAGTAGATGGAAAGGTGGAGACCTATAAGGCTAAGGGGTATCGTCAAAGGCAAGGTGTTGACTATGACAAAACCTTCTCACCCGTAGCTATGCTAAAATCCATCTGAATTCTGTTAGCTATTGCAGTACACTATAATTATGAAATATGGCAGATGGATGTGAAAATTGTCTTCCTCAATGGCAACCTCAAGGAGGTGTATATGATACAGTCTAAGGGATTCGTGTCCAAGAATAGTCCAGATAAAGTGTGTAGGCTACTTAGGTTCATCTATAGATTGAAGCAAGCTTCCCAAAGTTGGAACATAAGTTGTGATAAGTCGATCAGATCTTATGACTTTGTTAAGAACGAAGATGAGCCTTGTATATACAAGAAGGTAAGTGAGAGCACTATCACCTTCTTGGTGTTATATGTAGATGACATCCTGATCATTGGGAATAATATAAGAATGCTCTCTATAGGAAAAGCTTGGTTATCTAGACACTTCTCCATGGACTTAGGAGAAGCATCATATATCTTAGGGATTCAGATCTATAGAGATAGATCTAAGAGGATGCTTGACTTGTCCCAATCCAGGTACATAGACACCATTGTCAAAATGTTTGACATAGAAAATTTTTAAAAAGTTCTCGTACCGATGAGACATGAGATATCATTTTTTAAGAGTATGTCCCCAAAAACTCCTAAACAAAGGACAAACATGAATAGAATATCCTATGCCTCAGCAATAGAGTCTATTATATATATCATGCTATGTACTAGGCATGATATAACACATGCTCTGAGCGTTATGAGCAGGTATTAGGCAAATCGAAGCTTGGAGCACTAAAAAGTAGGAAAGTATATCCTTAAGTACTTGAGAAGGACTAAGGATCTTTTACTAGTATATGGAGGTAGTAGCCTTAGGGTTGAGGGCACATAGACTCGAGTTTCCATCTAACATCGATGATAATAAGTTTAATTCAGGGTATGTGTTCACCCTGAATGGAGGAGTAGTATGCTGGAAGATTTTCAAGTAAGATATTATTGTTGACTCGACCATAGAAGCGAAGTATATTGCTATAGTAGAGGCAGCAAGGAGGGAGTTTGGATGAAAAAGTTCATCGCAGATCTATGAGTCATGTCGGGCAACGAGGAGTTGATTCCCTTATATTGTGACAACAACGGGGTGATTGCTCAAGCGAAGGAACCCAAGTCAGAGAGATCATTGCCCGAGGAGATGTAGCAGTGGAAAGAGTTCCATCCAAAGATAACATTACAGATCCACTAACAAAGCTATTATCTCATATTGTCTTTGAGCGTCATAAGGGCCTGATGGGGATCAGACACATAGGTGATTGGCTTTAGGTCAAGTGGGAGATTGCTAGTTATAGGTGCCCTATAAGCCAATCATGTAAGTGGTGGCATGTGTGACGTGATGCACACTCTTTTTGCTTATTTATTATTTCATATTTTATCACTTTATATTACTTGTTGCATGAATATATTATGATATCCATGGATCTATACAATGGGAATCATATCATGATGAGATTACAATAATGAGATCGATTCGTCTTTAAACACAAACCCTAAATAATCCCGGTTATAGGTTACTCGAGAGGGACATCGAGATACCCGGACAGACTAGTGTATTGTATACTCATCCATATGATGGAGGCAACTGGTCTCATAGCTACTTGTATAGGGACACTAGGGATACAGTGCAAGTGCTCATTGGAGAATGAGTTCACTGATTGATCCGCTCACGGAATGTTGGATGGTTAATGATGCTTTATTATCAAATAACGATTTTATCGTCTTACTGGTGTATCTATCTTTAGACTTGAGACACCAAGGATGTTATATATGAGTACTCTACTATTTGATATCGGACTTATAGGCCTGAAAGTTTCAAATCTAGCACAACCGGTCATCGGGAGTGGCAACCAACCTTACAAGCACTATTGAGTGTCGATAAATGATTATCCCCTTTCGGTGTCATGAGAGAAATATCCCATATATTCTTGCTCAAACAAATCCCTGGCCAGGGTCATTCGGATTGAGATAGAAAGAGTTCTTTAAGAGAATCCGATTAGAGCGAGACTCGAGTAGAAATTGTATGGGCCTAATAGCACCATGCTCAATATACGGTCTCTGAGATATTAGATAGATGAAGAACTATAGATACATGGTAACTGAGGATAGATAGGTCCAATGGATTGAATTCCCCTATATCGTTTGAGGACTGTGACGTAATGGCATAGTACGTCCGTAGTAAATGAGTTGAGTGAATTATTATGGAGATAATAATTCATTGAGCTAGAAAGAGTTCTGATAGGTATGACTTACGGTCAGCTCGATATTGAGCTTAGAGAGTCATACATATATGGGAGGTGTTGCGACGAGTAAAGATTCATATATAAGATATCCGCTGGAGCCTCTATCTTATTGGATATCTAATAAGCCTCTGAATTATTGGATCCTATGGATGAGATCCAATAAGAGTCAATAAGAGATTATTGGGTAGAGAACTACTAATCTAAGAGGTTTGGGCAGTTGGATGAAGATCCAATACCTAATTTGGTAGGATCTATTATGGTAAGTTAATAGGGGGCCTCTATAAATAAGAGGGAACCAAATGGCCATGTGTTAGGTTCTTTTTTGCTGCCATCTCCCTCTCCTTCTCAACCTACAACCCTTATTTGGGGGGCGTGTGGATCGCAAGAAGGGGCAGCTCCTTCTTGATTATGTGGTACGCGCAGCGAGGAGGATTGTGCAACAATTTGAGAGGAGGATTGTGTAACAATTTGAGAAAATCTTTACAGCCCTTACCGTGTGGATCATCGCTAGAGAGGAGGACAGTTGCCCTCTTTCATCTTCTCCCATAGATCTGTAGGTTTTTAGGGATATACGATCTCCCTTGGTAACACATCTTTCTTATATATGTAGTTTTCGGTTTCGTAGGTTTTTGCACATCAATTTTTATACGATGATGAAACCTTCTTTTTTGCAGAAAATTTTGATAAATTTGTTTTCTGTTCTCCCACTATGCATGTGATGTCACCCTAGATTTTTCAATAGAAAACACTGCTTGGATGATTGAGAACAACCTTTGTATTGTCCTTGTCCTCTTTACTTTCATTCTTTTGTTATTTTCTTACCCTCAATTATTGCTTCTCTTTTTTCACGACCATGACTACCCCTTCTTTTTTTTTTCTTTCCTAGTCACCATCCTTCTTAGTTAAAAAAGTTAGTGTTTAGATTAAATGAAAAGAGAGTTAAGATTAAAGTCGGCTTTAGATTATTAAAACCTATCGACTAAATAATAGGCCATCGGCCTAGCAACTTGTTACAACTTTCAGTTGTATCCGGATCATCATTTCAACTTCGAAGATCAAAAACTATACTACCATGATTATTTCTATTAGGATTTAAGTTTCTTAATATATATATATATATCACCGGCGCCCGCTAGAGCAAGACGCAAATTGTTAGAATCATTTAGTGATATATATATAATAAATATAATCATGATCGGATTGGTGCTTTCCATGGAACCCGATAACACCATGAACTTACTAAAAGTCGGCGGAACAACACATCATACGATGATGTGCCCAAGCAATGACGGTACTCTGCATGCACGCTTTTAATGCTTGGAAGGAATGTGCCGTTCTTTTTGTCAACACATTTGCTTCGCGGTTCGGTCATGTCGCGACGCGTGACGGCCACGGGAGGATGTTAATTAATTGCCGTTGTTGTTTCACGTACATCGAATCTGCGCAGCTCGATCCGCCGTCCTCGTCGCTGCTGCCAGGCATCATCACACCGACAGAGGATAAGGCCGCCACGTGGGCCCCGTCATATAACAAGTCCTGCGGTTGTCCCTGCCCTCATTCAACCGGTTCGGTTCGGGTCGGGTGGGCGGTGGCGGTAGCATCAGCTCGAGCGAGGAAGAGGAGGGGAGGCGATGGAAGCGAAGGCGGAAGCTCCGCTTCTGGAGGTGGCCGCCTCGGCCGGTGGTCGTAGCAGCGGCCGGGCAACGGCAGCGCAGACGCTGGGGAACATCGTGGTGTCGATCGTGGGGACGGGGGTGCTGGGCCTGCCTTACGCCTTTCGTGTCGCGGGTTGGCTCGCGGGCTCCCTCGGCGTCGCGGCCGCCGGCGTCTCCACCTACTACTGCATGCTCCTCATCGTCAGTGTTTATAATAATTGCTCAAAATCTTCCACGTGTTTTAGAATAATAGTAGCTGATATGTCTCCTCTTCTTCTTCCAATTCGATGTATTAATTTATTGATGAGCTCTTACTCGAAGAAGGAGAAGAAGAAAAGGGGAAAAGGAATAGACAAATAGAAAATATTGACAAGTCAAGATATTCTGATTTCCTCTGTGTATGAGGCTGAGACGCCTCCTTTCTTGTTGGGCTTCGCGTGGGTTTTCTTCGATAGAAAGTTTCGTGGACCTGCTTTTGGTTTTTATTCATACTTTTCCTTCTCTTTTTGCTCACTAATGAATTCCTTCATAGAACAAGTTCCACAATTTACCTAGGGACGGTCCTTCTCAAGGCGTCCCACGATACATGCTTTATGCAGGGCTATTTGTACACAGGTCTTGACAGAAAAGATCAGATGCATTGGGTGCCAAATTTTGATGTACAATTAACCTTCAAATTGTGCAAGCCAAATTGAAGAACATACTTTCATTTGATGTTGCAAGTTGCAAGCGCATAATTCAAAGACAGGAGGAGAAGAACTCTGATTTCTTCTGCTTTAGTTTCATGTATCACTGCTTTTGTGCATAGCTCAGTTAACGTAACCTGTTTCACTGGGACGTCAACAACCACCTCATGTAGTTCTCCATGACCTTACGGAAGCTTTCTGATTCCTCATGTTGCAACTCATGCCAAATTTCGTTTCAGTTATGTCATTATTGTATATGAGATTGAATTTTCTAATTTGGACTTGTTTTTATATTCAGTTGGAGAGAAACCATATGTGAAAATCATAGGAAAATAAGGAACTTTTTTTTCTACAAAATTTTCTGGTTAATATATTTGTTTTTGGATCTTCTATAGAATAATGTTCTTAGTTGACAGGACCATAGATTATCCAAGTTATCAGCATGATTATTTTATGTTCTTGTTTTTGAATTTACGTATTGCCTCCTTTCATTTCTTAAACAGGTGCAATGCAGAAAAAGATTATCGGAGGAGGAAGAAGAAGAAGAAGAAGAAGAAGAAGAAGAAGAAGAAGAAGAGAAGGCAAATGAGTTGTTGCATTTACAAACTTATGGGGATTTGGGTGGGAAAGCCTTTGGGTCCATCGGTCGCTACATGACTGAACTTCTTATTCTTGCTGCCCAAACTGGGGGTTCTATAGCTTACTTAGTCTTCATTGGTCAGAATCTCTCATCTATCTTCACATCAATCAAAACCAAGGAACAACACATAAACCCGGCTGTCTTTATTTTCCTCCTTTTGCTTCCCCTTGAAATTGCTCTTTCTTTTATTCGGTCTCTTCCTTCCCTTGCCCCTTTCAGTGCTTTTGCTGATTTGTGCAACATTCTTGCAATGGCCATTGTCATCAAAGAGGACCTTCAAATCTTTGACAATTCCAGGAACAGGAGTGCTTTTAATGGGGCTTGGGGACTACCATTTGCAGGAGGAATGGCAGTGTTCTGTTTTGAAGGCTTCAGCATGACATTAGCATTAGAGGCATCCATGGCTGAGAGGCGAAAATTTCCCTGGGTGCTCTTGCAGGCATTCATTGGGATTACTGTTGCCTATGTTTGTTTTGGGTTATTTGGTTATCTAGCATATGGAAATGAGACCAAAGACATAATAACACTTAATCTTCCGAACAATTGGTCTGCTATTGCGGTAAAGGTCAGTGAATTTTCCCTCCTCTGCTGTAATGTCTTGGTGCATGTGATAAATGCAAAAAAACTATCCATTTTGAGCGCATACTGAAGCACAAAATTTTAGTACAGAAGAAGCAAAATCTTTGGACACATAGATTTGATGGTCTACTTTCAAGTTGGATATATATACTGACTGCTTGCAAGATTCAACTGAGCTAATTTATTCTGGATTTTAAGATATTTCAGCGAGACATTTCGGTTCATTTACCCTTTTTATTATTATTAGATAATAATAATAACTATGACAAGCTTTGCTGCATGAAATGTTGCTAAAAGGTATATCAATGCGCGGATGGATGCAACATGACCACTATTTCTTTATATGTTGTTTTCTACCCACCTAAGATCTTGACCCATAAGACCTTATTTTCTTGTAGAACTTTCTACTTTACCTACCTGGCATTTGATGATCACTTATCCAGAAGAGTGATAGATTTTTAATGCCAGTTGTCATTCCATAAAGCATCTACAGGAAGAGAGCAGAAATGTAGAACTTAGTAGGATGCAACAGAAAGTGGATAGAGGAATTAAGGGAAAAGAAATACATCATATAGGAAAATTGTGGAAGTGAGTAGCCCAACCGAGCTTGAGAACGATGAAATATCGTCTAATACATGTTATTGGTCGCAAGAATTGCAGAGTAAAAAACCATTGTCAAAATTCTGATTGATTGACCAGATAGCTGTATTCAATTGGAAAAGTTAGCTCCGTTAACTTTGCACTTTTCTACATAATAATTGTTTGTTTTGTTTGTCTTTCACCAGTTAGACTTCATAGGATGATTTCTGAACTTTGTTTCGTCTTTGTCGGACAGGCGGGGCTCTGCATAGCTCTAGCATTCACATTTCCAATCATGATGCATCCGATCAATGAGATCATCGAGACAAGGCTGAAGTCAAGTCGATGGTTTCAGAAGCTTATTAACACTTTCCGATGTGCAGAGTGGTTAGGCTTGCACGGGAGCCGCATACTTGTGTTGGTGGTGCTGTCTATGTTGGCTTCTTTTGTCCCAGGCTTTGGAAACTTCGTCTCTTTCGTGGGAAGCACTGTTTGTGCACTGCTCTCCTTTGTTTTGCCAGCCATGTTTCACCTCACTATTCTTGGTTCTGAATTGAGATCTTGGCAGAGAATTTTGGATTATTGCATAATTCTTATTGGTCTGGCTTTTGCTGGGTATGGAACGTTTAACACCATCTCAGGCCACTCATCCAATTGACATTTTGGCAAAGGAATCGCAGGACAGTTCCATCTTGGCCCAGTATGTATGTTGGTGCCTAGAGTCACTAGTCTTGTGTTAAGAGTGCCAGCTGAAGTGGGTGAACATGCATTGTGACTATTCTCCCATGCAAAAGAACGGTAGCCTTCATTGATGATCATCCTTTAAATTTGATGTACTTCTTAATGGACATATAAATTAGTATTTTCATAAAATTTATTGTATAGGAAGCTGAATTATTATTCGGGCCATAAATATATTAGAAATGTGGCTCTTCAAACAAAACCACTCTGCTACTTGATCTTTGAACAAGTACTTATCTTTGAAGTACTCGGTGGAAATTACAAGTGTGGCTAATCAAGTTTTGCTGCTATCTCTTGCTATGTTGAAAGCACCTGTGACAGCTTTATGATCCAGCAGAATGTGCTACTCAAAGTAGTTGTTTTCCTCTGGTAAATTTGGACTTGAACTGTACAAGATAGTTTGGCCAACAGTAGGCAAAGGGAAAGGATATATGCCGGTGTTGATTATTGGATTACTACCTTCAGATATTTCATATTTGGTATATCTTTCTCGGTGATTGCATCTTTCGGATATTGTGAGATCAATAATCTTTTATTTATGCCACATTTGCTAGTTTTCTTGATACAAATATTCTTCGACTTCCTGGGATGTTCCTAACTGATATGCTGTGTGAATCATAATCATTTTCGTGAAGCTGCATTTTTTTTTTTTATTTCTTCAAAAATTAATATATCTATTACAATGATTAATTACAAAATTTAGCTTGGCCCTCAATAATTATTTAGCTCTTGCTTTCAGTATCACATTACGTTTGAATAAATCTATGATTATTTTTTTACATAAATGACTTATAGAGGATATGATAAAGCTAAAAAGGAATGTAACAATATGTTAAATTCATATTAAAAAAATTAATAAATCAATAAAAATGTGTTTTCTAATGGTCACATATCGATTGTTTGTTGATGCAATAAGAAGGTATGTCTTTGATGAGTTTAGTAGGGTACCATGAATATATAGCATGACAAATATCTAAGGTTCATGTGGTCTTATTGTTATTAGTTTATTTATTTATTACTATTTATTGATCTATTACTGTTTTATTGCTATTACATCCTTACATTTTATTGCTATTATACTATTGTATTACTATTTTATTGTTACATTAAAACCATCATGTGACAAGTTGCCTAAGTATTACTATTTTATAGTTGATTAGTATTATGTTCTAATCATCTCATTTTAGGGATGATATTTTCAATTTCTAATTGACATTGATAGTCAAAAACTAGGTGAGAAATCAAGGCTACTTAAAAGTGAAGTGCCTGAGAGCTCACAAAGCTTAGAATTGAATAACTCATTTTATGAAGATACTGAAATTGGTGATATATTTGCAAATAAAGTTGCTAGAGAAAGGATAAGAGAAGAGGTTAAATGTGATTGTCGATATTTATGGTCCCCTACAAAACCTAATTGTCTATATTACATGAAACTTTTTATGATGAAGGAATTAAAATGTTATTATAAAAAAAATTATAAAATAATTTTCTTTTTCTTTTCTAATAAAAAAATTTATTTTTTTGGGGGGGTATGATGTCAAATCAAACAAAATAGTATATGTGGTAAAAAGAAAAAATAGGTAATCTATTCCCTTTTTCGAAAATAATCATAAAAATCATGTATCAATCAAGATATATATATATATATATATATATATATATATATTATATATATATATATATATATATATATATATATATATATAT